AAGAATGAGAAACACAGGGAAAACAATGCTTTACATTAATATGACTATAGTCTGAGGTAACATACATGTATAACTAAGACTACAACAGTTGTATAGCTATTCCCTACATTATTGGTGATGATTTTTAATTGCATAATGCAAACTGTTGATTTTCAAGATAAAAAGAAGCGTTCAAGCCCCGCATTCCAATGTTGGAGCAGGAAAGCTTGACATACCTACTAAAACACTTGAATGCAGACATACTGTCAGTATTGCATGGCTCTGTGCAGGTGTTAATCAAGTTAAATCCCAACAGCCAATCAGCAAGAAGAATAGAGGGAAGCTGCATGCCTATTGGTTGATGCCCTGCATTCCATTGTGATGACTCATGCCCAAATGTGCACACTAACAGCACGTCGGCAGAACGTACTGCGCCTGCGCAGAACTCTGGATTGTCGCGTTTTTCGTTGGGCTTTTGGTCAACGTTGCATCAAAATTTTGACTGTTGTAGAGGGCATCTTTTTCAACACAACATTTGGAAACTACTGTCGAAATGCTAACCTTATATGAGCGAATACAACCTATGAGACGTTCTGCCGAAGTGCTGTGCACAATACTTTACGGGTTTCGCGCAGGTGCAGTATGTTCTGCCGACGTTCTCACACTAACACAGTAATACATTTGCTATAACATAGACAAAAGCTTAAATAAAACCATTCTAAAAGCCTGTATCACAAAAATTTAAAGAAAAAAAAACGACTGTGGGTATTTGCCCACTGTACCTCCACATCGAATTTCAGGTCCTTAAGCCTGGAAATGAAGAAGCTGAATCCATTTAAAGAAATGGCAGGAGAAGGAGAAGAAACATCAGAAAAAGCAATATGGTTTCACCACTTTGTGGTGAACCATAATAAAATCAACTTTGTAAGGAGACACAATGTACAACAAAATGTAATTCACACAATGTCTAGCGCTAAAAGTAGTCTTATATACAAAGAAAGACAAAGACAAATTGGAAAGGGTACAGAATCAAGCTGCAAGATTCTGTATGAACAACTATGAAAGAGGTGCTAGTGTCACGGAAATGAAAAGAAACCTACAGTGGACCTCACTGGAAGACAGAAGAAAGATGTCCAGACTATGCATGATGTACAAAATGACTAATAAACTGGTGGATGTCCCAACTACTAAGTACCTAATACCAGCCCAGAAGAGAACAAGAAATAGCCATGCATTCAAATACCAGAGTTACCAACCAAGGATTGAGGTGTTCAAGAATTCATTCTTTCCTAGAACTATCGCAGAGTGGAACTCACTGTCACCAAGTACAGTAGGGGCATTGTCAATAGATAGCTTTAAACAATGTCTAGAGCTAGAAGTTCAAGGGTTAGGTGTAACAGGTCGATCAGTGTAATATAGCCAGCTGCCGCCGCGCCGCGTGCCTGCGAAGCTGGTGTGTTACGCCGAAAGGCGGTTATACCGGCTATACAGATACAGATACAGATACAGAATAACTGAATAAGTCACATGATTCTTTATGCCTACATTTACGAGAGAAAAGTTTATTAGTTCTGGAAAATCAGAATTAAGCAGAACACAAGATTTACCCTTTAACGTCCCAGGTTGTCCAGTTATGTGGACCAGGTGGTTCCGCGTCCCTACTGAAGTTTGTAGGAGGTCACCCGTTGTGGAGTGATGGACCTTCCCTGGGTGATGACTCCAGCTACAGTTATCACCGTCCCCGCATCAATTTAACCAGAGATCGGGAGAAAAGTCAGCTGAACACTAGAAACGTTACATTTGACTGATTTGGAAAACAAATGCACATTTCCCTTCACCTGGTGAAGACTTTCATTCTTACTCATAGCCAAATACATTCGTATGTATGGCGAGCGGGTAAATCACCATACATATACGACAAATCCATGTAATGTGGTAATAGTATATGAATTTCACCACGCTACAGTCAACCCTACACTAAACTGAACCTCATGTAGATTTCGCGGGGTAACAGACAATAAATCAAACAAGAGTTCCGAGATCTCATACCTCCATGAAATATGGGCTTGATATATAAATGTAAATTTCTTCTTTAATTACGCAAATGACCTCTGCATTAACATAATATATGCATCGTGATGTTAACTTTTGATTAACTTAAAGATGTCCCAAGTATGACATTCCCATCATTCACCATTGAGAAATCATAGATTTTTTGCATTAATTATGCAAATTAGGTCATCATTTGTATCTGTTATAATAGTATAATTAGTATCTGTTGATGTTCCATCTGCCATAGGTTACATACATTACATGTATGAAAGTTATATAATGTAAAACACTGTAATCATAGAATTTCCTCATTAATTATGCAAATAAAGTCCTCATTTGCATAATTTGCAGTTAATTATGTACATCTCTCTGTCAGATACCTACACACCAAAAATGATGAAAATACGCTGTTCCTATCTGGACTTATTGGCTTTCAAAGATTTCGCCCGAAAGTCCCCTGCAGTTCCTGAACAAGCTGCTAGGGGGACCAAACCCACACCACTTATTCCTGACAGAAAAAGCTATCTGTCACCAAAAATTCAAGACCATAGCATGTTCAGGACCAAAGATGCAAAAACCGGAAGTTCTGCTGCAGTACCAAGGTCATCCACCAGGAGGCCCATATTTGACCTTGA